AGCTGCCTCTGGAAGGCACCGAGATGTACCTTTTTCGCGCATGGTCAAAATCAAGGTTTTGTAACGCGAGCTGTGCCACAGTGAAATGGCCCTCCCTGACTCATCGAATCGCTACGTTCATTCTCAAAGCGCCCTCGCTTCCTCGGCGGCTGGGGCGCCTCGTCCTCTGGCTGTTCCTCTTCTACGTCCATCACTGTGAATTCGTCGTCTGTCTGGCTGCCATCGTTCGGATGGCCCGTTTCGGGTGGCTGCTCGCTCGGTCCTGGCTTTGCTGCGCGGTCGGGTGTCTCCTCGTCGTCGCTCCTTGCGCCATCGTCGCTGTCGTCGTTGTCTTGGCTGGTGGGGTGTTCCCTGGTTTCACCCCCGCTGTGCCCGAGAAGCAGCTCGAGCCTCAGTCGGTCCATGAACTGTTGGGCCGCGCGGCGGTTGTGGCGTCCTCGTCTTGGACTTCTCGTAGTACTCTGGCTGCCCTGGCTGTTCTGGCTCCCTTCGCTCTCGCCCCCCTGACTCTGCTGGCTGTACTGACTCTGTTGGCTGTACTGACTCTGGCTCCCCCCGCCCTCCGCCCCTTCCTCCGTTGCTGCGTCGGGGAGCTCGAAGAACTCATCGTCGATAAAGGCCATTTCGTCGTCCGCCGAGGCGTTCTCGTCTTTCTCGTCGTCTCCCTCGTCGTCGTACGTCTCACTCACTGGCGGCTCGCTCTCCATCGGGTTCGTCGTCCCGCCTTCGGGCGTTGGGCCGTGGACTGCCTTGTCGTGCTCTGCCGTGTTCCACGGCTCGACCCCAGCTCCCTGCGCCTCGCGCAAAGCCGATCGTGTCGTGGAGCGTGAGACTCATCCGCGCCATGGTCGCCGTCACGTCTGCGTTCATGGTCTTGGCTTCCCGCCACTCGAGTCGCACGGCGGCGTCGCCTTCGGCGCGCCACGCTCTGCCCTTGCCCTCGCAAGCAGACGCAAAGTCCGCCAGTGCATCCCTTCCGTCGGGTGGCATCGTTGTGTCGTACGACGTCTTAGGTGCGGTCGCGTCGCCCGAGGCGGCGACCTCGCTGTCTAGCTGCAATACTTGTTGAGAGGCGTCCCGCCGCAAAGCTCGTGGTGATATCGGGCCTCCGTGTCGCCACTCGGCGTCGGAGTCGGCGTATTGGATGGTTCTGTCGTCGGCGCCGTGCATGCCGAGGGCGCGTGCGCCGAGCCCCGTGGAGAAGTCGACGCTTCCTGCCCGAGCGAACAGGAGTGAGTTGTCTGTGCCCGAGATTCTTACGCTGTGAGAGAGCCTTGTATTTTAAGAATTAATACGCTTTGGGTGGGGCGCGGCGGTGCTGGAGGAGGAGGGGCGCAGCGCGTTGGGCTTAGAAAAGAATGAAAAGGAGGGGGCAAGGAGGGATGGGCGGTTGTTTTCTTCATTTCATTCCAGATCTGCCCATGCAAAAGACCTCGCAGCTTGTCGCCTCGGCGGGCTCAAAGCGGCCTAGGGAAGAGCTGGAGGCGGACGCCGCCGCCTGCGCCGCCGCCTCCTTCTCCCACTCCTCCTCGCTCTCGAGCTCCTCCAGCACAGTCTCGCTTGAAGCGCTCGAGGAGCCGCGTGCGCAGGAGCAGCCAGCTGGGTCGAGTCTCGAGGCGGCTGAGGCCGCGCCCGTGCCCGCGTACGCCTTGCCGGCGGCGGGCACGCTCGGCGACGCAGCGGCAGCGGTGGTGGCGCAAACCAAGGCACAGACAGGGAAGGCAGGCGGAGAGGCGGCGCCAGCCAAAGCGCGGGCGGCGCTGGCCGTCGCAGAGGCGCCGGCCAGCGCGGTGCCAGCGGCTGGCGACGGATCGACGGCCGCGGCGGCCGCGGATGCGACGGCGGCGGCGGCGCCGGGCGGCAGCGGCGGTTGCTTGCCGGCGGCGGCGGACGAGACGGCGGCGGCGGACGAGACCACGGCAGCGGCCCTCGCTGCAGAGGCGGCGGTGCGGAGGCGGGCGGAGGAGGAGCGGGCGGCGGCGTCGCAGCTCCTGGCCTACGCGTACACGAGCGGCATGGCGCGGGCGGGCGTGAGCTTGGTGCAGCGGCAGCCGGTGCGCGACGCGTGCTTTGGCATCGACCTCGTCTCGAAGGCGCGAGAGAGGGGGAGCGGGGGAGAGAGAGGGGGAGAGGGGGGGAGAGAGAGGGGGAGAGAGAGGGGGAGAGAGAGGGGGAGAGAGGGGGAGATCTCAACTTGGTGCCTTACCATGGTCCCACCCGACCACACCATGATCTCGAGATGTGGGGAGATGGGGGGAGATATCAACCTCGCTCGCCCCGCACCTCTCGCAGGCGGCGTCGATGGGCTCCGACCTCGCCTCCTACTCTCTCGGACAGTGGCGCGCGAGATCTGGGGAGATCTGGGGAGATCTGGGGAGATGTGGGGAGATATGGGGAGATGTGGAGGAGATGTGCGCAGGTCGCGCAGTAAGCACTGCACCTGAGGAGATATGGGGAGATATGGGGAGATGTGGGGAGATCTGGGGAGATCTGGGGAGATCTGGGGAGATCTGGGGAGATCTGGGGAGATCTGGGGAGATCTGGGGAGATGCTGCTCGCTCGGCTCTCAGGGGATCATTCCCTCTCCCCACACCTCCCCGCACCTCCCCACCTCTCCCCACCTCTCCCCACCTCTCCCCGCACCTCCCCACCTCTCCGCACCTCCCCACACCTCCCCACACCTCCCCACACCTCCCCACACCTCCCCACACCTCCCCACACCTCCCCACACCTCCCCGCACCTCCCCACACCTCCCCATTTTCTCGGCACACCTCCCCACACCTCCCCACACCTGCCCACACCTCCCCACA